GATTTATATTACTTTTAAAGTGCCTACGATTCGATAACATCGAAAATAGAGAAGAACGAAAAAAAAAGTAGATAGACTGGCAGCTATACGAACTGTTTTTGATGGATTTGTATCAAATTGTCAACAATAGTTTATTCCTAGTCGATACTTGACGATCGACGAAAAATTAGAATCTTTTCGGAGACGTTGTTCTTCTCGGCAATATACCCCCAATAAGCCGTCCAAATAGGCATTATTTGCCTTAACCCGGCGACTGTGTGGTGAAATTTTCTAACAGGAGCTGTGTGTTGGGGTAATTATCACCCCATTTTTTTTTTATTTATAAAATTGAGAAAATATTTTATTTTTACATGCAACCTTAAGATTTTAAATCATGGTTATATTGTTATATAATCTTTTTCAAAGTTAAATCATTTTAAAAATTTTCGTTAATAATTCAACGATTCAAAAAATATACTAAAATTTAGTTGATATTTAAACCACTACCACAATTTTTGTTAATAAAATTTTTATTAGAGATATAGAATAAAAAAAAACTACAAATTCTATAAAAAGTAACTATGATCTTTTGTTTAAAAAGCATAATTAACAATTATTTGCACATTTAGAACAAAAATATACACAATGTTCAAGACAAAGAAAAATGTCACATTTTACACATTTCTTTTGGCACTTTCTGTCCTTTCCACGGGGACACACTCCACATCTGGATGTTGTTCGTTGTTTCTTGTTTGAAGGTCCTTGAGAGTCCTCTCCGTTGTCATTTCTTTTTAGTTTCGCTCTTATGTCTGATGGTATTCTTTGATTATTACCTCTTTTTTCAATATATGGTTTAATTAGTGCCAAACCAAGTTGTTTTAAAAAAAATCTGCGTTTTAGTTTTTCATTTGGCTTGTTATGTTGATAAATAACATAACTATTTATTCCTGCATTATTAAGCAGCGAAAAAAAAATTGTTAGTGGCCATCGCTTGCTATTACGAGACACATTATATAACGCAGACATTTCGTCAACCATATCCACTCCACCTTTTGTGTGATTATAAAAGTCTATAATCTCAGGTTTATTTAATTTGTGGTCAAATTCTGTATCATGATGAAGTGAAGAAGCTACTAACACTATTTTATTTTTCTTCGGGACAAAGGACACCAAAGAAATGTCTTTTTTAAATCCGAAAATTGCGTGGTTTTCAGCTCTGTTTTTGGAATTCAAAAAGATTGTCGGTATTTCCCTCTTGTTTTTACGAATAGTTCCAACAGATGTTAACCGATGTTCACTAAGCAAATGTTCCATTAGCGGTATGCTGGTAAACCAGTTGTCGAATGTAATGTTGCGATTAGTACCACGAATTGGATTTACAAGCCTGTTTACTACATCAAACGGTCTATTACTAAATTGAAAAGGTCCCTCAGGCTGTGAGCCAACATATACCTCTAAATTTAAAATGTAGAATGTTTTGGCATCCACTAAGGCAAATATTTTAATGCCATATTTGGACGGCTTATTGGGGATATATTGCCGAAAGGAACAACGTCCCCGAAAAGATTCTAATTTTTCGTCGATCGTCAAGTATTGACTAGGAATAAAATATTGTTGACAATTGGATACAAATCGATCAAAAACAGCTCGTATAGCTGCCAGTTTATCTACTCTTTTTCGTTCGTCTCTATTTTCGATATTATCGAATCGTAGGCACTTTAAAAGTAATATAAATCTTTGCAGGGACATTGTTAGCCTGAAAATGTCAATTCCTGTTCCATCTGTAGCCCAAAGATCCTCCAGATTTAACCTATTGGCTTTATAAACGCCTGATAGATATAGTAATCCGAAAACTGCACGAATTTCTTCTGCGTCCGTAGGCTTGGTGATATATTTATGTTGGTCATTATAATTCTGAGCGACTAAACTGATTTTTTTATTAGTGCATTGGACAATATCTTCTACAATAATATTATCCATGAATAATTCCCAGCAAGAAATGGGTGATTTGCAATGTTTTGCATTATTTCGAACACCGGGAAGTAAAGTAATTAAATTTTCTTGTCGTGTTCTAACCGATTTATTAGGACAGTTCTTTGACCATTTTGTTTTCCCATCCCGTCCGATAAAAAACTTAGATTGTCTTACTTTATCATCTTCAAACTTATTGTTGTCTTGAGAAGATTCTTCCGACGATGATTGACTTTCCTGATTAGAAGTTCCAGGCTGACAATTTTCCACTGATTGAAGTTGGTTTGTAAAACATCCTCACTGGAACTAAGGCTAACCTGCTGACTTTCATTTTCAGATTCGCTTTCTGATCCTAACTCTGATCCAGTTAATTCATCCTGCCAAAGCTTCAAGAGAGCTTCTTGTTCTTTCTCCCAACTACACATATTTCGATATGTCTGAAATTAAGAATATCTAATCAATTTTCAATATTCCTAACAATTAAATTATGTTTCTGTTAAAAAAATCGAGATAAGTTGTGCTAGTATAAGAACTTACCTGTTAATAATTAACCGGTGTTGTGGGGTTAAAATTACCCAAAAACTAAATAATACTGCACTTCAACTGTGTGGTGGGGTTAAAATCACCCACAAGTCCAAAGAAGGCGACACCACTCATTCAAATCTTATTTATATACTGAAATTTATGATGCAATACAAGGTCTGTTATATTATGGGAAGGTACTCGTGGCGCCAGACGAATCTGGCGATGTTGCCACTATTTTAACAAGCGGTAATGAACGACGTGGGTTATTTTCACCCCACAACACAGTTGCCGGGTTAATAGTTTCTTCACTTCATCATGATAAAGAGTTTGACCACAAATCAAATAAACCTGAGATTATAGACTGTTATAATTACACAAAAGGTGGCGTGGATATGGTTGACGAAATGTCTGCGTTATATAATGTGTCTCATAATAGCAAGCGATGGCCTCTAACATTTTTTTTTTCACTGATTAATAATGCACCAATAGATAGTTTGTTATTTGTCAAAATAACAAGTCAACTGAAAAACTAAAACGCAGATTTTTTTAAAAAGAACTTTGTTTGACACTAATTAAAACATATATTGAAAAACGAAGTAACAATCAAAGAATACCATCAGACATAAGGGCGAAACTAAAAAGAAATGACAGAGGAGAGGACACTCAAGCACTTCCCAACAAGAAACAACGAATAAAATCCAGATGTGGAGAGTGTCCCCGTGAAACGGGCAGAAAGTGTCAAAGACATGTGTGAAATATGACATTTTTCTTTGTCTTAAACATTTTGTATAATTTTGTTCTAAATGTACAACAAATTGTTAATTATGCTATTTAAACAAAAGTTCTTGGTTACTTTTTATAAATTTGGATTTTTTTTAATCCAACAAAAATTTTGGTTAATAAACTAAATTTTAGTATCTTTTAAAATGATATAAATTTGACAAAGGATATATAACCATCTAACTATGATTTAAAATCTTAAGGTTGCATGTAAAAATAAAATATTTTCTTAATTTTATAAATAAAAAAAATGGGGAGATAATTATCCCAAAACACAGCTACTGTCACAAAATGTCATCACACAGTCGCCGGGTTAATAAGAGTATTAGGAAAAACTGTTTATAAATAACAATTTAATACTATTTATAAATAATATTTATTTATTTATTATAATTATATTTTAAATAAATAAATCAAAAATAAAAGAGACTTAAGAAAAGGTTTGTACATCCCGTAATTATTAGTTGCTTTGTTTTGGATAATTTTGCAATTAAAATACGACAAATGTTATTTTAAGGGCGTGCCCCGGTTTTAAAAAATAATTAGTTAATTAACAAATAAAATAAAAAAGAAAAAGCAAATTTAGTCCAATAGAACCCGAGATATTTTTCTCTTTTTTTTTTTCGAGCGCTCATCTTAAAACTGTCCTTTTACTCTAGTCAGAACGAAAAGTACTATTTGTCTATATCACTCCTATTTAAAGAATTTTTTTGTTTGCTAAAAGTTTTGTTAAAAACTTTCAGCCCTTAATGTTGTTAATTAATGCAATAGTGGTTTAACAAAAAGTCTATTTGGAGTAATAATAAAAGGCTTTTTTTTTAAGTTATGTTTTTAAGCAGCTTTCCAAATATTTTTTGCCATTTAATTTGAACTAAATTCTAGGAAGTTATTGTAAACGTATATAAGCTTAAAAAGTGCTATTTACTATTAATTTTGTTTAAACTTTTTTTTTCATAAATTATTAATATACATTTCAACAAAAAAATAAACCCCGGATCATTGAGATACATTCAGTCAAATTATCTTAGAAATTAGAAATATACTCATTTTGAAAAAATCTTATAAACAAATTAAATTTCGCAAAAACTATTCAACCGATCTAGCCCATCTTTTCCACACAATTCAAACACGATAAGACAGTGAAGTTCAGGTACATTTAAACAAATTTTAAAAAATAATAAAAAACTTATTAACAATATTCAAAAACAGCGATTTTGTTGTTTATTTTGCAATGTTTTTGTTGACCGATTTTAATTAAGCTTATCTCATTTTGTGTATCTTCTTTTTCTGAAAAGGTTGACGTCGAGTTTCTAAATAGACAAGTTTTTAAGTTATGAGCAAAATAATGAGTTTGGTGTTTTGATTTTTTATTTGAAAATATTTCCACTAAAAAATTGATAATTCCTTAGATGAGTATTTTTGTATTATCTCATACTAAACAGTTTAACTGTCAAACCCGTCTATATAGTTATGACGAAAAATTTTTTACTAACTTGATTGGTCTATAAACATAACCTAAAAAAATATTTAATTGTTTTGACAAAAATCTTAACCAGGTTACGTTATATGAACATCACAATGTTCACTGTCAAGGCAAGGAATGATCGGTTATCTACATTACATCAGTTATCTGTTATCTCTAAAGTGTTAATTTCTTTAAAATATACATTAACATAGCAACATTTTTGTTTTAATTTAAAACAAGCTTTCCGAGGAAGCAAAAAAAAGATAGTGTAAAAACTCACCTCTAATTTGTGCATGGTCTTAATCTGGTCCTCCAACTGCTTGGTTCGCTCCAGACTCAAAGCCATTTGCTCCCTAATTTTTTGCAAAGCCAAAGGACTCATTCCGTATGAATCGATGGTAACGGTGTCAAAATCATGTCTTGCAACCTCATCGTGGGTCGTGGGTAAGACGGGCATGGTCTGGCCGGAAGCTGAAGCAACCCTTCGTGAATGTTCTATACATAACACTATACGTAACACTCTTGTTGACAAAGAGAATAATAATAATCAGCAGCTATACCAGAATCAACGAAAATTATGTTATCTATGAGATAAATCAAACGCCTTATTAACCAGAACCATATCCACAAAAACACACTCGACACATTCGTTTTGTTTATGTTCTCCATATATATGTACTTTGTGACAGCTACTTATTTTTTGTTGAACAAAACACAGTTAACAGTACTTAAAATTATAGCAGTGCACCAAGGGGCATGCGTTGCCGATGAAAGGTAGAATAATAATTGTTTAGGTCTGATGAACACGTTAAATTAAAAGCGAAGTGAGGAAGCCACTGTTACACGTTAGTTGGGGAATTGTTAGTAACTAAACAAGATAAATCCTTCTGACGAGAACACATTACCATTGTTTATACGAGGGAGAATTTAGAAATAGGTATTTATTATTTACAATAGTGTAATAAACTTCATTTTGATAAAATATTATAGGAAATGGATTTCACGCAATATGTTTTATACAAATAACTCAATACTGTTTAAAGCAATCCTAACAGTATAATACAATGATAATATTTGTCAACATTGTAAGATATTTTATCTCCTGATATTTTATCTCTTATCAGCTGTGATGACATTTTAAATTTATTATAATACTTTTATGGCCACTTATAAAGTAAAGCCGTATAGGAAAAACTCTTAATGCAGCTTATTACTAAAATCTTTTGAATAATGCTAAACCGCTTATCGGTACAAGAGACAGGAACTTAGGGTCGAAAACAGACATCGGACCGTTGCTGAATATCTCCCATACATTCCAGGCTTTTCGCCATGTGGTTACAATGTGTATGGTCCACGGTCCACTAAAGGATGCAGTGGAAGGAGTATATTTAGTGTGGGAATAAATGTTTTTGCCGTTTGAATTTGGCCGACAAATGACATACATTAGAGAAAAGAAAATTTCTTACAAATATAGCAATTGGTCTTAGTTTTGAACGTTAGTAACTTGTTTAGGCTTACGCTTCTTCAAGAAGAGACTGCTCCTTTTTTGTTGTGGGAGCTTTAGAGGGGGTGAGCAGCGTCGGTTGCAAGTGGGTAGTTTTGGGTAGCATGCTGTTAATGGAGCAGGAGCTTTGAAGATCGTAGTGTTTGTAAGAAAGAAGAATCATGAAGAAGAGTTTTTAACCAAGCTATGAGCAGAAGGTACCTCTTGTGTCAACAGCCTTACAAAGCGAACGACTCTTGAATCAGCGTTTTTGGCATACAGCTATTTTACCTGCGATATTTGAGGGAGGTTGATTCTAGGGCGTCGTAATACTCATCAGGAAGTCCGTAACCAGAGAAGTCTAGAAGCTTGGCTGGAAGAAACGGAACTTTTGTTTGGGAATGCCTATTTAGTATGTGTCCTAGGTGATGGCAAGGAGTCTTTAGAGTTTGTTAAGTTGTGTTGTTGGAGCCAGCTATTGTGCGAAGGATTTTGTATCTTCTGCTGAGAGTGCGGATTCTGTTTCATTGTTGAAATGTTTGTAACTTAGTGAATCAGTGCTTACGGATCATGCGCATGTTTCCTCATGTACCTTATTAAGATTCTTCTTTCTGTTGCCAGAATAGTGTTGGTTTGACGATTATTAAGTGACGCGTAGATCCTTGTACTCAATAATGGGAATGATGAAAGTCTTATAGGTGTACAAGAGAGTGTTTAATGTGTTGCCAAATTTTCCAGATAGTGCTTCTAGGAGATTATTATCCTGTCTAGGGTATTATTGACATCGATGTTCCAATTGAGAGTCCTACAAAAATGAACTCACAAATAGGACACCGAGTTTCTGAATTCGAGATTCCTTCCGTGGAGGACTATGCTGCCCCTCCAGCATGGCGGATGTAAGGAGATCTGTATAGTATAATTTGAGTGTTTGTAAGATTAAGTGTAACTCTCCATTTGTTGCACCACCTAACAATTCTGTCCAGCAAGTTTCGAATACAGACGTATGTCTCAACGTCCCACGTTATTCCCTTCAATAAGGAGCGCAGTATTATCAGCATACAGCAATATCGACTTTGATCTATTAAGGGGTGGGAAATGTCACCGTTGTAGAATGTGTATAATATCGGTGGTAGAATTGAGCATTGGAGACTCCAGCTTGTGGAGTAAATGGTGTGGGTGGATAGCGTGTTAGCGACCTTAACACGGATTGTTCGATTGGACAGATACGAATGTATTATTTTTAAGAATGGTGTAGGCAGTTCAGTAAGGTGGAGCTATTCAATCAGGCCTGTGTGTCAAATCTGATCAAAGGCCTTCTGGACATCTAGGAAGATGTCTATGGAGTATATATTTTTTTGTTGATGTATTGTGATATGAAGGTTATTACAAATCAACATCTGCCAATAGTCCAGTTGCTGTGGCATTTTCCCTCTATATTTTTATAACTGCAACAATTTGTCTGAAATGTTTACAATAGGTAGGAAATTACTCAAAAAAATATATTTTGCCGATGTATGCTACTACCCCTGGGATGGTTGTCACCCCATCTAGAGAGTTGCAACTTTTCAACTCAAATTAACCACGGGAATTGATAGGGAATCAAATTTTAAACAAAAAAGTCTATATTGTTCTATAATGACTATATTTTTCGCAAACAGAACATGTTTTCCAATTATTCTTCAGAATAACCCGTTTATAATAAAAATATACCGTTTTATTGAAAAATGTGTAATGAATAAAAATAAAGCCTATAAAAAAAAGAGATTTTTTTTAAGTGCAATACGAAGCGATTTATAATTTTTTTGAAGATGACTTCATTTTTGGGGTTCTATACTCATATTTGACATCAAATATCGGAAAATGGAAATCTTTTTCGATAAAAAAACTCATAAGACACTTATGTTAAAAACTATGTTAAAAGTCATTTCGATTAAGACAAAGCGAAATACGATGTAGAGAGTTGGATTATTTTAACCCTCCTTCCCACGGGTGGGGATCTATCAGTACGACTAAAAATGAAATTGCTTAAATTTTTTAATTTTTCCCTTCAATCGCTACCTGTAAAAGTATCCTGATAGACCCCACCTGTGGGTGGGCTTTTCTTGTTTTGTGTTCGAGATATTTATAAAATTTATGGTTATATTATATTGCCCAGTAATTCCCGTTATCAGCTTTCGCTTATTTGGAATTTTAGTTTTGGAGCGTCCTTCATAAAAATAGTTTTTTTTTGTAGCTTAATATAGATCCTTATGAAGTAGAACTAAGTAGTAGATCCTTATAAAAGTGTTACTGAAATAACTTACAGCACTTTTCTATTCCTGATGACAGAAGATTGTTTTATTATGGAAAAGACAAAACCAAATAGCGAAAGCATGTTCCTTCTCGTAATGTCAAAACCCGCCAAGAGAATATACTCACCAAATTACCTGATCAGTGATGCTAGAAATGCTAAGGGTGCTAAGGTTTGTTAATATTATAGATATTATAGTTGAAAATACAAATGTAAATATAAAAAAAATCAAGACAGATTTTAATCTAAATATGATACGCTGCTAATAAATTCTGAGAAAATTGAAGATTTTATGGTGTTCAACATGGAGGTAGGAAAAACTTGTCAGAATTTTGGGCTAATGACGTCATGGGATCGGGAATATGCTGCACTGTCTCAGAGAATATTTGAATTTCTAGTAAAATCATTACGATTTGATAATGTCAACACTAGGGAAGAAACGAGGCAAGAAGATAAGCTGGCTCCAGTTCGATAAATGATGAATACCTTTGAACAAAACTGTAAACTGCATTATTCAGTAGGGGAATATATTGCGCCTGATGAAATGCTTCTTGCATTTAGAGGAAGGTGCATGTTTAAAATGTACATGCCGAAAAACCCTAATACGTATGGGCTCAAAATGTTTGCTACAGTTGATACCCACACATTTTACACCCATCATTTAGAATTGTACGCAGGAACGCAGTCAGATGGACAATATAAAACAAATAACTCAACTGCTGCGGTGACAGAAAGAATAGTGCAACATTTATTTCAGTCTGGTAGAAACGTTAATATTGATCGTTGGTTTACCAGTTACAATATTGTAACACATTTACTGAATGAACACCGTCTTACAGTAGTAGGAACAATTTTGGCTAATAGAAGAGAATTACCTCAGGAACTAACAAATGTAAAGACCAGACAGATATATATTCTTCAATGTATGCATATGGTGAAAAATGATGCTTGTTTTTACTTCCCCAAAAAAAAAATAAAAATGTTTTGGTCGTTTCTAGTATGCACAGGGATGACAGAATTGATGAAAGCACTGGTGATCTCTGTAAGCCAGATCTAATTACATTCTACAATTCTACTAAAAGTGGAGTAGATGTGGTAGATCGTATGATTACATTTTATAATGTAGCAAGAGGAACAAGAAGGTGGCCAATGGTCATTTTCTATGGCTTGGCTAATATTGCAGCTATAAATGCATTTATTATATACAGATCCAATAATGCAAATGCAGAATTTCGGTCTTCTCGTCGATTGTTTCTGAAATCTTTAGGAATTGCATTAGTCCAGAAAAATATGAAAATAAGAGCGCCTAATATCCGTATACCGAGAACATCACGGTTACTTGCTGCAACATTTTCTGGAATTAAGCAAACGATGAGTGATGGCCCAGCCCCAGGAAAACAGGGCTGGTGTAAGTATTGCAAAGAAAGAAAAACGAGGTATTTTTGCCAATTGTGCAAAAACTGATTATGTATGGAACATATAAAAGCATGTTGTGCCAATTGTGCCTAAACAAAGTTAACATAATTTAACCCCCTCTATTTTCTGTTACCAATTTTAAGTTTAGATATTTAGTTTTTACTTATATAACTGTAAGTATATAGAGTAATATTATTGTTTTTTTTTATATTTTTCTTTTATATTTGGCCGTTTATAATTTTTTTAATAAACTCTTGTCAAAAAATAATGGTGTTAGTTATTTTGCAGTAAACTATAATACATATT